ATTTCTTGACTTCCCACTCACACGCCGCTCAAATGTGCGTGTTGCGCACGTGTGTCTGGTACTCACTCCTAGTCGGGGATAGTTTGATTGATCTAAGTAGGGACAAGTAGTGGGCCTTGAGGTGTGCGGGTCAGGGGTGTGCGGGTCAGGGGTGTGTGGGTCAGGGGGTGTGGTGGTCAGGAGTGAAGGGGTCAGGGGGGTGGTCAGGGGTGTGGTGGTCAGGGGTGTGGGAGTTAGGAGTGTGGGGGTCAGGAGTGAAGGGGTCAGGAGTGTGGGGGTCAGGAGTGAAGGGGTCAGGGGGGTGGTCAGGGGTGTGGTGGTCAGGGGTGTGGGAGTTAGGAGTGTGGGGGTCAGGGGGGTGGTCAGGGGTGTGGTGGTCAGGGGTGTGGGAGTTAGGAGTGTGGGGGTCAGGAGTGAAGGGGTCAGGAGTGAAGGGGTCAGGAGTGTGGGGGTCAGGAGTGAAGGGGTCAGGGGGGTGGTCAGGGGTGTGGTGGTCAGGGGTGTGGGAGTTAGGAGTGTGGGGGTCAGGAGTGAAGGGGTCAGGAGTGTGGGGGTCAGGAGTGAAGGGGTCAGGGGGGTGGTCAGGGGTGTGGTGGTCAGGGGTGTGGGAGTTAGGAGTGTGGGGGTCAGGAGTGAAGGGGTCAGGAGTGTGGGGGTCAGGAGTGAAGGGGTCAGGGGGGTGGTCAGGGGTGTGGTGGTCAGGGGTGTGGGAGTTAGGAGTGTGGGGGTCAGGAGTGTGTGGGTCAGGGGTGTGGGGATCAATGGGCTGGGGGTCAGGGGTGTGTCGGTCAGGGGTGCGGGATCAGTGGTGTGGGGGGTCAGAGGTGTGAGGGTCAGGGGTGTGTGAGTCAGGGGGGTGTCTGTCAGGGGTGTGGGATCAGTGGTATGGGGGTTCAGGGGTGGGCAAGGGAAGGCACGTTTTATACTTCAAGAGCCGCCAAATTAACTGCCGCAAAATTAAACGGCCGCTAAATTAAGCGGCCGTTTTATCAAATTATCCCTGATGACAAAACAGGACAGACCCAATAGCTGGAGGTGTTTAATTCTTGGACATGAGCGGATTACACATCACAGGGCGGGGTTATATGGGGTGATGTGTGAAACACAGACAGGAGGAAATATCAGAGTTTGCAAGAGGGAGGAGGGGTGAGTAAACATGGGCTGAGAGAAATGGACGGGCAGAAATAACATTTTCCATCTTTCGTGTTGTGTGGCTTTGGTTGTGTTAGATACGTGGTTTAGTCACGTGATTGTTGAACATCGTGTTTTCTAGCTGAGGTGTTTCACTTTGTTATAGGAAATAAACCGGGAGTGATATCCCCTAAACTTTCTCGAATATTCTTATATAAAACAACAGGGGATGGGAACTCGGGATATAGATCTATTTATGATTTTTAATCCATTTAAAATACTTAAACTTTTTAAAATAGAATAGAATCTCATAGAAAAAAGTATTGCGCACCAAGCGAACGCCGAATAAAGATGTTCATAATGGTGCGCAATATTATTAGTACTTTATAAATTTAGATGCGTTTTTGAGAAATCGGAAATAGCGTAAATTAGTACTTACCGTCAACGGAAATTACTCAAAATTTAACAGAAGGTAGAGAATTAGATCTTTTACTTACAGGTGAAATTTCATTCCTCTATCTGAAATAGTACTCAGGTTATAGGCTTTTGAAAAATTCAAAGTAGAAAACGTACCACTTCCGGTTATCGGAAATCGCTCAAAAGTTGATACGGATCTACGATTTTGATAAAATACTTATATATGAAATTTCATCAACCTAGCTGTAACGGTACTCAAGTTATCGTGTTTACACACCCACACACACACACAGACACACACACACACACAGACACACAGACACACAGACACACAGACATACGAACAAGATTGCAAAATTATGTTTTTCCGTATCAGTGAGGTGTAAAACGTCGAGATTTGTAAAAATCTCGATTTTTTTTTTTGCACGATTACAATACTTTCTCTATACTACGTATATACGAGAAAGTAAAAAAAGCTAGCTGTCTAGTATTTTGTCAAAACGTGCAAAACAACATAAGAAGTTAAATTGTTTTTTCATAGGCAAACTATTGTTTTGTTTCGCTTCATTAGCAAGTTAAAACAAGTCTTTTACGGTCAATAACTAGCGCACATATTAACCTATTTATTCAAGTCAAAACAAATAATTCTAGAATGTTTTAAAATTTTGCCATTTTTACTTTCTCGTATATACGAAGTATAGAGAAAGTATTGTAATCGTGCAAAACAAAAAAATCGAGATTTTTACAAATCTCGACGTTTTACATCTCACTGATACAGAAAAACATAATTTTGCAATCTTGTCCGTATGTCTGTGTGTCTGTCTGTGTGTCTGTCTGTGTGTGTGTGTAACACAATAACTTGAGTACCGTTACAGCTAGGTTGATGAAATTTCATATATAAGTATTTTATCAAAATCGTAGATCCGTATCAACTTTTGAGCGATTTCCGATAACCGGAAGTGGTACTTTTCCTACTTTGAAATTTTCAAAAGCCTATAACTCGAGTACTATTTCAGATAGATAAACGAAATTTCACATGTAAGTAAAAGATCTAATTCTCTACCTTCTGTCAAATTTTGAGTCATTTCCGTTGAACGGAAGTAGTAATTTACGCTACTTCCGATTTCTCAAAAAACTAATGTAAATTTTTAAAGTACTAATAATAATCTTTTGTCTACGAGATTTTATTCTATTTTTAAAACTTTAAGTATTTAAAATGGATTAAAAATCATGTCTATAGCCCGAGTTCCCATCCCCTGTTATTTTATATAAAATATTCGAGAAAGTTTAGGGGAGATCACTCCCGGTTTATTATTTAATGGACTTACGTTTTATATCTCCTAAATGGCCAGAAAATTTTATGAGAGCATACTCTACCCACGTCGTATCATTCCAACATTTTATCCTAACTGGCCAAATAATATTATAACCCACGTCATGTCCATCCAACATTTTATCTGAACTGGCCAGGTAATATTATAACCCACGTCATGTCCATCCAACATTTTATCCTAACTGGCCAGGTAATACTATAACCCACGTCATGTCCATCCAACATTTTATCCTAACTGGCCAGGTAATAATATAACCCACGTCATGTCCATCCAACATTTCATCCTAACTGGCCAGGTAATATTATAACCCACGTCATGTCCAACCAACATTTTATCCCAACTGGCCAGGTAATATTATAACCCACGTCATGTCCATCCAACATTTTATCCCAACTGGTCAGGTAATATTATAACCCACGTCATGTCCAACCAACATTTTATCCCAACTGGTCAGGTAATATTATAACCCACGTCATGTCCATCCCATATTTTATCCCAACTGGCCAGGTAATATATAACCCACGTCATGTCCATCCAACATTTTATCCTAACTGGCCAGGTAATATTAAAACCCACGTCATGTCCATCCAACATTTTATCCTAAATGGCCAGGTAATATATAACCCACGTCATGTCCATCCAACATATTATCCCAACTGGCCAGGTAATATTATAACCCACGTCATGTCCGTCCAACATTTTATCCAAACTGGCCAGGTAATATATAACCCACGTCATGTCCATCCAACATTTTATCCCAACTGGCCAGGTAATATTATAATCCACGTCATGTCCATCCAACATTTTATCCTAAATGGCCAGGTAATATATAACCCACGTCATGTCCATCCAACATTTTATCCTAACTGGCCAAATAATATTATAACGCACGTCATGTTCATCCAACATTTTATCCTAACTGGCCAGGTAATATTATAACCCACGTCATGCCCATCCAACATTTTATCCCAACTGGCCATTAAGCTTTCCATGACTGACCACGCCGACCTGACACCTCCCCTGCACGCGAACAACGGAACCCCTCCCCAGCACCGCACTGACCAAATGGCAGACGTCACGTGATGCCCGTTCTCGGGTTTCTGCTCACATCTGGTCTGCTTTCACTCACCCGACCGTTGACCTGTGGCACGTGACACGACGCGACAATTTCATGAAACAAAAACCACGCCTACTTCAATCCACACGGCAGTCTAGTTATCTTTTTGCCACACTGCAGCTAGTTATCTTTTTACCACATCCACACGGCAGGTTAGTTATCTTTTTACCACACGGTAGGCTAGTTATCTTTTTACCACATCTACACGGCAGACTAGTTATCTTTTTACCACACGGCAGGCTAGTTATCTTTTTGCCACACGGCAGGCTAGTTATCTTTTTAACCACATGGCAGGCTAGTTTTTTTTTTACCACATGGCAGGCTAGTTATTTTTTTTACCACATGGCAGGCTAGTTATCTTTTTAACCACATGGCAGGCTAGTTATTTTTTTTACCACATGGCAGGCTAGTTATCTTTTCTACCACACGGCAGCTAGTTATTCTTTTTACCACACGACATGCTAGTTATTTTTTGTACCACACGCCAGGCTAGTTATCTTTACGACATCCCCACACATTGATATCATGTGTTATATTTTCCTGGACAGGTTTCATAATATTTTTCGATAAGTCACGCACCAAAATATGCTTTAAGGTGATGAGAAATTTAGCGCATTAAAGTATAGAGATGCAACAAGTTTTGCTTTCACAATTTTCATATGAATGGGACTTCGAAGTGATAATTTACCTGTGCTAAATTGAGATTTTGTATGTACACTGTACACGTACGTCCAGTTAATGATGCGAAACAGAACAAGTTCACAATGTCTAGTACTGATACTATATTGTTTCTAATGATTCACGAACAAAAAGACTTCTTCTAACAGCATTTAAGATTTAACAATAATAAGGTATATGTTGAGGAAAGTGAGAAACATCAAATGCACGTTAATAGCACACGTTTTATATAGAGCAAATTAACTGTACGATTTAGGACAGAAGTTTCAGGTAAAACAACTTACCTGGATGACACGAAACAATGACAGGTAAAAACAACTTACCTGGAGCAGGTGGGGCGGATGTCGCAGGTACAACCATCATCCTTTTGATGCCGTCTGGTACCGACTTGAGTGGTACCGTCTCGATCCTGACGGTGGTGCAGTGACCTCTGGTCTCCAGCCACTGGCACACCTGCAGTCTGGTGTTGTTTAAGGTAAAGTAGTGGCCGTCCTTCTCAACCACCTGTAGGTATAGGACAGGTAAGGTTAGTCAGGTCATCCGTTACTACAGGTTTTCTGTTTTAAACTACTTTAATGTAAAGTAGTGGCCGTCCTTCTCAACCACCTGTAGACATTGGACAGGTGAGGTTAGGCGTGGTCATCAGGTATAGGACAGGTGAGGATAGATGTGGTCATCAGGTATAGGACAGGTGAGGTTAGATGTGGTCATCAGGTATAGGACAGGTGAGGTTAGGCGTGGTCATCAGGTATAGGACAGGTGAGATTAGATGTGGTCATCAGGTATAGGACAGGTGAGGTTAGTCGTGGTTATCAGGTATAGGACAGGTAAGGTTAGGTCATCAGGTATAGGACAGGTGAGGTTAGGCGTGGTCATCAGGTATAGGACAGGTGAGGTTAGATGTGGTCATCAGGTATAGGACAGGTAAGGTTAGGCGTGGTCATCAGGTATAGGACAGTTAAGGTGAGGCGTGGTCATCAGTATGGTATAGGAGGTTCTTTGTTTTACTTTAAACTAGTTTAATGTAAGTAGTGGCCGTCTTTCTCAGCCACATATAGGTAAAGGACAGGTAAGGTTAGGCGTGGTTATCAGGTATAGGACAGGTAAGGTTAGTCGAGGTCATCAGTATGGTAACGGTTACTTTAGGTTTTTTTTGTTTTAAACTAGTTTAATGTGAAGTAGTGGACGTTCTTCTCAACCACCAGTAATCATACGACAAGTAAGGTTAGTCAGGTCATCAGTATGGTAATGATTACTATACGTTCTTTGTTTCACTTTATACTAGATTTTATTGTGGTTAAACGATTACTAAGAATTGTCTAAGGCTGTAATTATAAGGCTATGTTCATAAGATAAGACTGAAAAAAAATGAAAAAAAAAATAAACATAATTATCACGGCATATTTTTCAAAATTTGCAATACATAAGATTAGAGCTAAGGGGGGGGGGGGGGTAACGCTAGCTTAACCAACGGAGACATTTTTGTAGAGGAACCAGAGTTTCTTCCATGCATCTCTTCGGGGGGGGGGGGGGTCCGCCCCCCCCCCCCCCAAAGAAAGTCTACCGTCCCCACCACCGAACGAAATAGAATTTATATAGAAAATATATACTTTTAACAGTGTCCCCCCCCCCCCCGCCCCCTCGGAGAAAAATTATGGAAGTTCTTTGTGAGGAACTTCAAGACTCAATAGTTCAAGAACGACATGGGATATGAGGAACTGATCTTACTTTATAACCAGCTTCATATCGAGGCGTCTAAAACTGGTGCATGGCTCCCCAAGCAGAGCCTGACAGTTTTGTAAGACTCGTCATACATTCCACCACCCGAATTGTGCAAAATGCGATCAAAGATTGGCACAATTAGAACACGTTGATTTAAAGTTTTCTGAAATTATGGACATCAAAACAAAAATAGAGTAAGATCATGTACACATGTCAAATTTGACTGTCATGAATCGATAGGAATTAAAACTGGCTCATGTCAGAGAGGTTTATGTCTGATAGATCTTCGATCTTTAGGTCTCAATCAAAGAGAACCTTTGTCAGAGGTTTTAACTCCAAAGATATGTGCCACAAACATTTGTGTAATGTTATGTGTGATTGATAAATATTTGATTGGTAGATGTTGGGTTGTGTGAATTGTCATTGGTAGATGTGTGATTGGGAGATTGAGATTGGAAGATTTAGATTGTGATAGAGAGATGCGTGACAAACAGTTAATATAACAACAATGTCACAATATTATCACAACAATATAATAACACAAAAAAAGAAATAACAACAAATAACAACCAAGTAACAACATCACAACAACATCACAATAATATCCCAACAAAATAACAATATCAAAACAATATCACAACGATACTACAAAAATGTCACAACAATGTCAACATGTAACAACAACATATAATTGTCAGAATAGACCGTGTAGACATAACACCAGCTGAATACATCTGTAGAAAAAACATAAAGCCTTCCTGGTACCCTGTACAAAGTATTGATTTGAAATACATCGCGACTACAAAATCTGGCCAGAATTCATTAGACAGACGAGAAACACGATAGTTTTAACTTTAACGAAGCGATACAATATTTTTCCACACGAATAAACACAACCACAATTTTAATGAGATTTACTTTTTTTCTGTGATGTATTGTTTTCTCTGACTACGGAATATGTGGGTGATTGTTTTTACAATATAAGTTCCAAAAGTTTTTGAAAAAGACAATATACGTAGTGCAGTTCTGTTAAACTAGTGGTCATCGCTTAAATCAAGAGGTCATTTCATTCATTTTTTTTCATCTATTTGTCATTGTTCTAAATAAGGTCATTTCATTCCGTTTTATTTTGATCTATTTGTCATTGTTTCAAATAAGGTCATTTCATACGGTTTTAATTTCAGCTATTTGTCATTATTTCAGAACGATCATTTTTGTTCAATTTTATTTTTATCTAATCGTCCCTAATCCAAAATAAACCGGGAGTGATCTCCCGTAAACTTTCTTGAATATTCTTATATAACTTGGAATATAGACATGATTTTTAATTACTTAAACTTTTAAAAATAGAATAGAATCTAATAGAAAAAAAGAATTGCGCACCAAGCGAACACAAAAAAAAATGTGCATAATAGTGTGCAATATTATTAGTACTTTATAAATTTACATGCGTTTTTTTGAGAAATCGGAATTAGCGTAAATTAGTACTTCCGGTCAACGGAAATTACTCAAAATTTGACAGAAGGTAGAGAATTAGATCTTTTACTTAAATGTGAAATTTCATTTATCTATCTGAAATAGTACTCAAGTAAAAGGCTTTTAAAAAATTCCAAGTAGAAAAAGTACCATTTCCGGTTATCGGAAATCGCTCAAAAGTTGATGCGGATCTACGATTTTGATAAAATACTTATATATGAAATTTCAGCAACCTAGCTGTATCGGTACCCAAGTAATCGTGTTTACACACACACACACACACACAGACACACAGACATACGGACAAGATTGCAAAATTATGTTTTTCCGTATCAGTGAGATGTAAAACGTCGAGATTTGTAAAAATCTCGATTATTTGTTTTTGCACGATTACAAGACTTTCTCTATACTTCGTAAATACGAGAAAGTAAAAAAGAGGTCATTTTATTCATGGTTCTATACATAGATATATAAATTGATGTAGATTTTAAAAAGGAATTAGACATTTGATGAGAAGAGTTAGGGGTTTACTGGGCGTAATAATATTCTTTCCTTTGAATACCTGATTCGATCATTATAAATGCAAGTGTATCTGACTCTTATATTAGAAAAACACAGCTATTAACCCGAGCTTCACCCCCCGCTCAATCTAAGATCACAATTTACGTAATCTCTCAGCTCATCGGGCTGTTTCCTGCACACCCTCACCACGTGACGTCCGCATGTCCCTAATCACGTGATCCTGCCAACAGACCTGCAATTTCCAGCAGACGAACACATCTCTCCGCCACATTGTTATCCCGCCATGCACTTTTCGTGTCGCATCTGTAGCGGTGTGTGCAAATTTTCTCGTCAAACTAGCCAGCACCTCTTCTCCATCACCCCAACCATCACCTCCCCGCCCCATCAACCCCCACCCTCAGCTAGCACATTCTATCACCCCCATCCCACACCCGAGTAAAAAAAAAAATTAAATTTGCACTGTGCCACATCGAAACAAAATAATCAAATAATGTTCACACTCCAAATTTTTCTTTTCCTGTTGAACTTTTTTTTTTACCCCGGAGTAAAATGAAACAGAACATGCTTTGTTTCTATTTCAGCATTTGACAGCGACGGGTCCCCCACATGTAGCGAGTTCGTGGGGTGCGGCTCCTGGGGTGAGGCTCACACGATTGAGATATCCCACAAGCCAATGATCAACTCGATAACAATTATCGAGATTTAAACCGAAAGCCGTCCTCAGAAGATCAGGACATCCGGTCCCCTTCGCTTCCTGTTTGCGGGTTCGATCCCACGCTAAGCCAGATTTAAATCGCAATCTCATGTACGTGTCTATCAATCAATGAGATAAATTTGTTCGAGAGTTGAAGGCAAACTGGTTTCACTGTTCGAATATTCGTGTTTACTTGTGATCGTGTACGAAATCGGAGGTTGTATGTGTGAGATGGATTTTTAATTAGGTTCTGCTGTTGTTGTTTCGATTTTTTATAAATATTCGGTTTAAAATTAACATTTCAAGCCAGATAGTTTAGTTTCATGGAAATCTTACCATCTAGTGGGGTTCACATTTAGCTTCGAGTGAGCTAATAGAGGCTAAACTTAAGTCTTTTGTAGAACACTTCAAACAAAAACTGATGATATTTTGTTTCTGGTGACCGTTTATCGCTAGAGGCTAACCTTACGTCTTTTATAGAACACTACAAACAATAAAAGATAACTCTATAAATAATTCCTAACCGTGTTGTCAGAGACTCAGTGATGTATTAGAGCTGATGTTTTCTTCAGTATGACAAATTTGTGCGGTCTTTATATTTAACTGTTTACTGTTTCGAAAATGAATGCGTTCATTTGTTAATGTTAAAGGTAACACGTTTAGATCGTTTTGAGAAAAAAGAAAGTAACATAATTTATCTAAATCTTAAATAAGCCATTCTTCATGACATAACAGGATCATTTGTATATACCATTAAAAGATCATATTAACTTCCAAGAATTTTAGAAAGATCATTTGTATATACTATTAAAAGATCATATTAAATTAAAAGACTTCTAGAAAGATCATTTTTAAAATAATTACAGTGCTTTTTGGTCTTAAAATTACCAGTAATAATAACATCCGAGACTATCAACGTTTATAATTAAGACCTTTAAAAACAAAACCCATGTGTTATGATCAATACAAATTTCTATTACAACAAAATATATTTATCTCGATCATTGTTACCAAAGACTTAAAAAACATAACATGTCTCAACAATTATTACAAAAATCTCACAAAATGAAACCTTTTTGTCCCTATCATT